AAATTATATTTAATGTGTCTCGAATACTCTCAGCACATGGGAGTTCTTTCTAAGCTTTCTTTGATTTTTAGTTTATTTTTAGTACATTACCATCACAAAAGTGTTTGAATTTCATGTAAACAATCAAATTTACATGTTGAATGTGATCCAGAACAAACATGACGCAGTGTGACAACAACAAACTTCTTACAGTGTTCATACATTAACCATAACCTTAGAAAACATGTTTTCTAAGGTCTATGATTTAATAATGAAATTGTTTAAATTCTGCTATAGTGTCTTTTGTAATTATATAAAGACTTACAATCAAGTAATTGTTATTCTGAAAATTGTTATCTTTATATTTTACGACTTGATCAACACAACTTGTAGTGTATTGACGTTTCGTTTCCATAAATTCTGATTCATTCATGATCCCATTTTCATGTTGTGTGTGTTTTTTTCACTGCCAGAGTATATCCAACCTATGACTTTGCTTGCCCAATTGTGGACAGTATCGAAGATGTCACCCATGCGCTGCGTACCACAGAGTATCATGACAGAGACGAGCAGTACTATTGGTTATTAGATCAACTGAAGATGAGGAAACCTTACATCTGGGAATACAGTCGATTAAATCTACAGAACACTGTGTTATCAAAGAGAAGACTGACATACTTTGTTAATGAGGGTTACGTAGATGGATGGTGAGTCTAGTAATACTGAAATATCAGCTCTGAATATGATTTATATTTATAATTGTTATAAACAAGTCATTGAAACCATATGGATGTCATAGAGGCACTTGTCTTTCTAGTTTTTGTTTATTTCATAAGTACACATTACTCTTTGCATTAAAAAGTGATTTGTTGAGAGATTTAATTTGAAAAACAGCATGGACTGTATCAACCTAATCAAGTGTACATCTGTACATACACTGAGATGCAACTGGTGACTCGTCTCTACTTTCATGTTTCACTAAACAAATAATAATTTTCATATAAAATAATGTTTGTTTGTTATGTCTGATAGGGATGATCCAAGATTTCCCACTGTGAGAGGGGTTCTGAGGAGGGGTATGACTGTGGAGGGACTCAAACAGTTCATGGTGGCCCAGGTGAGTCACAATAAAATGTCTTTGAGATCCTGTACATGTAGTATGAGAAGTGTATTTTATACATGGAAGACCTGCGCATCAAACTAACATAAATTGATCGTCAGGACTTGTTGAATTGGGGCGATGTGCAGTTCTCATTCTACAAAGAATGCTCAATAATTGGAAGAATATGCTGTTTTTATTTTTTGAATTTATAGCTTCAAGATGCAGTAGTGATGTGGCCATGCATTGATATCACCATGCCAACACATGTATCTTAAGATACTGTATATCTGGCTGTATCCCTGGTAACAATGTTTGAAATGACTGAAACTATTTATATACAAGACTTCTCAGGTAATTGCTAATATATTGATCTTGTTTTTGTTGTAGGGCGGCTCTCGTTCTGTTGTCATGATGGAATGGGATAAGCTATGGAGTTTCAATCGCAAAGTGATCGATCCGAATGCACCTCGTTTTGTTGCACTCAAGAAAGATGAAATAGTACCTGTACTTGTTGCTGGTGCTAAAGAAGAGGTTAAAGATGTGCCAAAACATCCAAAGGTAATAAATAAATTATTCACAAAGGAATAAATGAGAAAGATTATCCTTGCTAAGTCTGAATGTATTTTACATGCAATAATTTCTTTTTTTTTTGGAATTAATTGTTTTTCTCGCCATGATTTATTTAGAATGCAGATATCGGTGATAAAAAGGTTTACTTTAGTAGCAAAGTTTTCATTGAAGGAGCCGATGCAGCCACGCTGTCTGAAGAAGAAATTGTTACATTCATTAATTGGGGAAACATCATTATTAAAACAATTACCAAGTAAGTTTGATGAATTTATATTATATTTATAAATAATAACACTTCTACCTGGTTCTTACCATATATCATACATTAGGAAATTTACTACAAATACATTGTATATTTCAACGTTTTGTTTGCAATATTTTGCTTACCATAGTGAGTAATTCTATGAATTAATTTAATAAAGAACTAGATTTCTACAAAGGTTTTCCATCTATGTTCCTATTGATATGTCTAACATTGTTCTTATATTCCTACAAGGGATGATTCTGGTAAGGTAACGTCCATTGGTGCCAAGCTGAATCTGGAGAATACAGTAAGTTGATTGCAACTTGATACCCTTACTTAAGTATATATGTAACAAATACCTCCTGGATACATGTCTCTGATTATAAAATGGCTCTTGAGACAAGTATGCTGTTGGATATCATACAGAATTATTTATAGGCATAGATCTAAAATTAAAAAATTTAAAATGATTAATCACTCGGTGTCCAGGGTTCTCCCCACGCTGGACGGCGGTGGACGGCGCCTTCCGGCACTCAGAATTAGCAACCAACACATATGGCTACCGTCCGGCACTATTGTTTTTGTCCAAGACGCAACGAACGCGCTGAAAGACAAAATGTTTGAGAGGGTGGATAATCAAAGCTTGGGTTGTGTCACCAATTACCGTACCCATATTTTTACTGGCAGGGTGACGTCAAGTATATAAAATCGATGTCTGTAAAACCATTCGTTATAACATAAGGTCTATGGTTAAAACGAAGTTCACGTCATGACTTGTAGCGACAATATCGTCACCGCCGAGCGGAACAAAGGCAGCCATGCACTTGCATGATTGGTAAACGACCATTGCAGCTGACGTACCATCACAGACATAGTTGATAATCAAAAAGTCCAGACGAATGCCCGATTAAAGATTTAAATATTTATATTTCGAATTTGAATTTTCTTTAAATCACGATTTAAAATCCCTGGTAAAACGGCCATGTTTTCAACTCGCGTCATAAGTGGAGAAAATAAATTTACTTGTGTTGTTCTTGGATCAAATATTCTGATTGGTTGTTTTTCGCGTCAATGCATGGCTTTGTCCAATCAAAATCATCGTTACATAGTATCAGGGTGCACGCAGTAAAATAAACTGTTTCCGGGTCATAGCTGTTTTCAACGAAGCAGACATCAACAAACTTTCGGTTCAAATGAAAGTTATTCTTTTAAGTATGTATTTTTTGTACATAATGCTATTATTTTTGCTAGAAACTGTTAACTGCAAATCGAAAATCTTCTATTGTGTAGATTTTATTTTGTTTGATCATCTTGCTTTTTGCCGCCGATGACGCACATTCATGCAAGTTTTTAATGAACCAATACATTACGACAACATAAATTTTATATTGCCACGTCCAAATAAACAAAAAATACAAACATTAAATTTCCAGTAGCTATTGATTTTTCTCATTTTTCTCAAAACAATAATACAGAAAATTTACTTTTTTGAAACATTAATTTAAAAAAAACGATTTAACATCAACAAATAGTAATATGATTTCATATTGTAATTACTTTGTGCCTTCAATTTGTTATGCATCATATCTTCAAAGATGATTTGTTTGTGTATTATTTATCCTGTGTTGTGTTGTAATCTTCCATACTGTATAATAAATATCATTACATATGACCTTCATTCCCTGTGGCCATTTTGAATATTAATTATTCATGCATATTAATGAGCTCATGAATATTCATACCGTCCAGCACTTTCTGTCTGCTGGGGAGAACCCTGAGTGTCAGTTAACACACACGAAATTTCAATAATATGACCCTTGTGTTGTTGAAATTCTGAAATTCAGCAGAGATAAAAATTACATTACTTGTATCGAACACTTTGAGTGCCAAAGTAAATTTTGTATCAACTTGCACAACATACATTGTGCAAGTTGATAAAAAATCCACACAAAATCTCTTCATATTTGTTTTTTTTATTCAAAATTCTGATCAGCACCTATTAGGGTCAAAAATATATATAGAATACTGTAGAATACTTTATTTTCGCTTGGAATTTATTTTTGCTATTTTTGCTGAAGGGGTGATTCCGTGAAAATAAAATCCAGCGAATGTACTTTTTTTCCTATATTTCACATTAAACTCATCAGAAATCAGTGAAAATAAATTCCAAGCAAAACGCCCAAAAAGCCTTTTCAGAGAAAATTAATTCCAGTGAAAATAAAGTATTCCACAGTAATACATGAAAATAAGCAAAATGTGGCGTCAAACTTTTGGTTGGAAATATTATGCTCATCAAAAGGCAAGTTTTCCTGTAGAGTCTGGAATAAATAAAGATTATACCGTAAAATCTGTATTCTAATAGAAGTCGCACCCATTCTTTTTGAACAATTGAGAAGCAAACATTTACCATTTTTCATATGTGGTGTACATGTTCTAATAGAAGCTGCATCCCCTCTGTTGCATTGTACCATTTTAATAGAAGCCGCAGCTTCTAATACAGATTTCACAGTAGTAATAGTCTATTACAACTTAAAATCACTTCTATTTCATTCATATATTTTCTTTATTGCAATTACTTTTAGGATTATAAGAAAACTACCAAGTTGACTTGGTTAGCTGAGAATTCTGAAGGTGTATTCACACCGACCACTGTGGTTAACTTTGATCATATCATTACTAAGCCAATCTTAGGTAAAGATGAAGACTTCAAGCAATATATAGGAAAGAATACTAGGGTGAGTATAAGGAGCTGCTTTCGTAAGAGTCAGTGTCAATCATTGGCTGCTTATCCCTAATACCTGTTCCATGATCCAATCAGAAGACGCCTTGTATTCATAGTTGTAGTAGACCCTATTTCGCAAACGGCCACCCAGACTTGTTGAGAGCAAAAGAGCCAAGCAACTTATTTTTCTCCTCAAATTGCGTTCTATTCTCTCAAGTCGTCATGTCAACTATTGCCTCACCAACGTAACCATGGTAATTGTTTGGTGAAGAGAATAGAACACTATTTTGGGAAGAGTCGTATGGCTTTCTCACAAAATCTTGATGGTCATTTGCAAATTTGCTCAATTTGTGATGCTATTTTTATGCATTTATATTGAGTGATGACGTATTGCCAAACGTTATCGACTAATGACATATCCTCCAAAGTACTGGAATAAATTGTTTTGACTTTGGATATTTGGTGATGACTGAGAGTTGTTCCAAGCCGAAATCCATCTTTGAATCTTGCGCTGTAGCTGTGATCTCCACAAACTTGGATAAATTGTCTAATGTGCATATAATTAGATTAAATAACATTTTATTTGTTGCATACATGTATCTATTGAAACTTTGACTCATTACTTATTTGTTTGCAGTATAATTATAATATTTCAATGTATGATATTTAAACTCAGATTTTTGAAATTCTCAGGTTTTGCTGCTTGATATGCATTGTATTTGGTGTTACAACTAGTGTGAATACCATCCCTCATGTCTATAATAAAAAGAGTTTGTTTCTTTTCTTATAGACAGAGACTGTCATGCTGGGTGATCCGGAATTGGCATTCTTAAAAAAAGGTGATATTATACAGCTGCAGAGGAGAGGTTTCTTTATTTGTGACCAGCCATATGAGCCTTCCAGGTAAATAACTACGAAGGAGTCTTCTGCATTTCATCTGTTCGTAAAAGCATGTATGTCTGTTTATGGGACCTGCGTTGGTTGTATAGACTTTGTGCCAGGTTTTAATAAGAGCTAAAAAATACCTGAATGTAGTGTCACACTGATAGGTGGTGTGTATACATGGCAAAGGTGGTTTTTCATTTGTTGTCATCAAAAACTTGGCAATGCTGCTCATATTTTCACTTATTCTTTACTACTGAGTCACTCATTGGAGACTCTTTGTTGCAGTTATTTTTTATACAGTTTCGTCTCATAAAACTAACTTTTCTCTTGACAGTCGATATAGTGGACGTGAGAGTCCGTGTATTCTCTTCAACATTCCTGATGGCCATCAGAAAGAAATGCCGACTGCTGGTTCCAAGGACAAGTCTAAACAAACCGCCAAGCAGGTGAGGATTGTGCATGCTTTTTGACTGTTTTAAGTCATGTGCGCACTTGATAAGAATCAAGAAACAATTTGTACATTGTTAATGCTAAGTTATTTGCTATGTTCACACGGCAGCATTCTACCGGAGCCGAACTGCTACTCCTCCCACCGATTAACAGGAGATTATCTGCAATGCGTTCATACGGTCGAGAGCCGAACAAGAGCCGAAATCTGATATAGTTCGTTTCAGTTAGATCAGAGCCGAACAGAACAGTGCCCTCGAATAATTCGTATGAAAAAAACATTGATGAAAATGATGCTGGTGTCGTGCTTGTGATGTTCCTTTACATGGGCACGATGCTGTTGAGCTGGGAGGAAAAAAAAAGAAACTAGTCTGAGCATGAAGGTAGAAAAGACAATGCACTGGTGTTATGATTTTAGTTACTAGTGCTGGTAATAAACAGGAAACATGGCAGCTAAAATGTGTTACAGCCTATTCGCTTAAGTTATTGTTATTATTCAACTGTTGTGATATGTGTGACAGTTGTCAATCTAAACCTACTAGGAACATGTCACCTCGCTGTGACCGTTTCTACGATTTTTATCTCTGGTGTCTCTAAAAAGTTTCAATTTTCATTGGATCTGTTCAGTCCCTTCTTTCAAGTTTTTGTTCGCCATTTTTCCTGTAGACCTGTCAATCTATCACAGTATGTCTTTACTCTGCCAAATAGATATTAGGGTGTGTACCTCTTCGTCAATCGATAATTCCGTGAAGTTACAAACGATGTTGTCTCCGCCATAATTAAAATGAGAGGTTACTGGAAGAAGACGACTGAGAGCGTGATTTGGGTCCGATAGTTGGGCCCTGCGTATACACGGTCGGTCGAGCCGTAGGGCTCTGATAAAATGCTGTCTTGTGAACGTAGCAATTGTTTTTTTTATTTGCTATTTGTATTTCATGTGCTTATATGAATGACAGGTGTTTCTTCGGTCAGATTAAATTCTATTTTAATAGTTCAGCATTTCAGCATACCATTAATGCATACCATTTGTTTTTTTGTGCGCTTCTAATAGAGCAAATAATAATTTTTTAAGCTTGGTTTCAAAATTATATGAATAATATCAATAAACCTCATCCATGTTGTCAATTCTAGCTGAGGAATTTTTAACTAGAAATTGTTTTATTACTGTCAACTTAGCTGGCAACGTTGCTGTTTTGGTGTTCAGAACAATATGGTGGTGACAGCAAAAACAATGTTGAAAGATCATTCATATATAAATAGAATTCTTCTTATCACATAATATGGTTTTAAATTTTTAGGAAAAGGGCAAGAAAAAGAACAAGGGTGAGGAAAAGACGACAACATCACCAAGCGGTGGTGCCAACGCTGCAGATATAGAAGTAGTGATTAATAAAATAACAACCCAAGGTGATTTGGTTAGGAAGTTGAAATCTGATAAAGCGGACAAGGTATGTGGTTGACCTTTTGAACAAATTTCTTCATCCAACATTTTGGCCTTTTTTTTTTAGTCCCCGTTCGGAAGCAGTCCGAAAACGGGGACTTATGTTTTGACCTCTGTGTGTCCGTGCGTGCGTGTGTGCGTCTGTGTGTGCGTTCGGACCTGTATCTTAGAAATGCCTGGACCAATCACAATCAAACTTCACACATACATCATACATGATATTATACATATGCACATCAATTTGTTTCACGATCTGATTCAAGATGGCCGAATGGCGACCATTTTTGTGCTAAAAATCATCAAAATCAAGCATTTCTCGGCTGTTTACAGATGGATTTTGTTCAAACTTGGTATATACATTAGACATTATGGGACCTTGATGCACATCATTTTGTTTCACGATCTTATTCAAGATGGCCGAATAGCGGCCATTTTTGTGTTAAAAATTCCTAAAAATCAATTATTTCTCGGCTGTTTACAGATGGATTTTGTTCAAACTTGGTATATACATTGGACATTATGGGACCTTGATACAAATAATTTTGTTTTTCAGATAGAATTCAAAATTGCCGACTGGTGGCCATTTTGTATTAATGAATGTGGTTCTCGTGCCATATCTATGACTTGCTTTCACTGATTATGTTCAAATTTTAAATATTCATTATACATCATGTCATAGATAAACAGATATATTGGTTTGACTATCCTATTCAAAATGGGCGAATGGTGGTCATTTTTGCGCTAAAAAATCATCAAATATCAAGCATTTATGGGTGGATTTCGTTCAAACTTGGTACATACATTAGACATTACGAGTTCCTGATGCTCGTCATTTTATTTTTCAGATTGGATTCAAAATGGCTGACTGGCAGCCATTTTGTTTTAATGATTGGGCTTCTAGGGCCATATCTCTTAAATGCTTTGACTTATTATATTTAAATTTTATATATTCGTTATACATCATGTTATATATATACATGTATTCAAAATGGCTGATTTTGAATGCTGTTCCAGAGCAATATCTCTCAATATGGACAAGTACTTGTTTGACGATCAGATACAAATGTCAATCATTTTAATGTTAAAAAATCATATTCCAGCTATATTACTATAAACAAAACTATATATCTTAAATTTGATAACTAACGGGGACTGTGCCATGCATGGCTTGTTTTATATAAATTCTTTGTTCATTTTGAACCAAGTGGACATAACAAAACCATTTTCTATATGTCTCAATCAACATTAAAACAAAATTATGCAAATTTATTTTGTGTGAATTAACAAAATTTGGCTTTTTGTGCAAAGTGTTAAACCATGGTACAATGATTTACCTGCCGGTATCACTGTGTTTGTAAATGAAATGAAAATTTTCAGTGGGTACAATATGATTGTGAAGGTTGTATTTTACCTTCAATTTCAGTTATAAAGTATTTTATTATAAAGCCTAAAATCTATGAATGTTCTCTGGAATCATTGAAATTTCTAATCTTTGTACATATCTTGTTTTAAGGCTACTATTGATGCAGCAGTGAAGGAATTACTTGGTCTGAAAGCTCAGTACAAGACACTGACAGGAATAGACTATAAACCTGGAGCTGCACCTCCTGTAACTAAAGCTGCCCCTCCTGTGAATAGTGGAGTCTCCCCAGCTGATATTGAGGCAATAATCAATAAAATCACTACACAGGGAGATCAGGTCAGGAAGCTAAAATCAGAGAAAGCTGAAAAGGTAAAATTAGCCATTTTTTCTACAAATCATGAAAACATTGCTTAGATTAATAAAAATAAGTGCCAGCATATTGAATAAACCCGAGGCAAAATGATAAAAGTTACTGTATTACAACACAGTCAATGGATAGTTTGAAAATTTAGTTATGCTTATGATAGAAAAACTCCTTTTGCACACATCCAATAGAAGTGCACAATAACTAAAAATTAGATTTATTGTATGATAGATCATTTACAGTATGACTTATTTTGACTACAGACTCACATATTTCATTGAATTGCTGTAAAAACAGAACAAAAAAATTATAAAAATATATATAACTTGATCGTTTCTTGTACATGTACAATACTGACTATGTGCCATGCATGCCTTGTTTATTATGAATCTGAGGAGGGGGTCAGAAATATATTATAGAAGCTCGAAACCTGGAAAATTTAATGAATCATTGAAATTTCTAATCTTTGTACATATCTTGTTTAAAGGCTACTATTGATGCAGCAGTGAAGGAATTACTTGGTCTGAAAGCACAGTATAAGACACTGACAGGAATAGACTATAAACCTGGAGCTGCACCTCCTGTAACTAAAGCTGCCCCTCCTGTGAATAGTGGAGCCTCCCCAGCTGATATTGAGGCAATAATCAATAAAATCACTACACAGGGAGATCAAGTCAGAAAGCTAAAATCAGAGAAAGCTGAAAAGGTAAAATTAGCCATTTTTTCTACAAATCATGAAAACATTTATAAATTTAGGTTTCTGATTGGATTAATGGAAATAAGTGCCAGTCACGGTGTATTGAATAAACTCAAAGAATAACAATAAAGTTACTGTATTGCAACACACAGTGCACAATTGTATGAAAAACCATTACAATATGATTTATTTTAACTATGGACTCGTATATTTCATTTACATAAGGATATACTCTACTACT